AATCACCTGATCACACGTAATGAATAAACTCGTTTTGCTTCGTATCTCGGTCATCTGAGAAGCTACAACTCTATTTTTCAGGACAAAAGTAATTCGAATGGCCAAACACAATTTAATAAAATTTAGCTCGATCCAACTATACAAACTATCAGATAAATGCGAAAATGAACCTTCATTTGAAAAAAATTAACACTAATATTTTTCGAGTTGACAAATTCCTCGAACCAGTGGTGATACTAAGTCATACCAGAAAGAATTATTTCAATCGGGCACTCAGTGACTGAGCTATAAAGGGCAACGTATGGGTACTGACTTTTGGCCCACCCTGTACTTCCCCCGAAGTATCACACTCTCGTAGATTGATAATATGTGATACCTAGCTGCTGCCAAACATGGGAAGATTACCGAGGAGCCGCAACATATCTGTTTCTAATCAACAACAACCGCATCAGTACCTAGTATATAGAGTAGCGAGATTTGGACAAAGCCCCCAGAAGGACATGATGGTAATAACATTTTGCTGACAAACAGCTGAGAAATTTGTTGATTGAAAGAAAACTGAAGAAATATTGAAATATAGGGAGATACTTTATCGTAGTGAATTTACTTGCAAGTGCAACAACATCAGCTTCTCATCTTACGGTTTCAAGAGTGTAAGCACCATTATATTGTAGGTACCCAGAAAGAAAATAATGGAATGTTTGGTAACTAATTGTAAGCACCATTATATTGTACCCAGAAAGAAAATAATGGAATGTTTGGTAACTAATTGTAAGCACCATTATATTGTACCCAGAAAGAAAATAATGGAATGTTTGGTAACTAATTGCAAGCACCATTATATTGTACCCAGAAAGAAAATAATGGAATGTTTGGTAACTAATTGCAAGCACCATTATATTGTACCCAGAAAGAAAATAATGGAATGTTTGGTAACTAATTGCAAGCACCATTATATTGTACCCAGAAAGAAAATAATGGAATGTTTGGTAACTAATTGCAAGCACCATTATATTGTACCCAGAAAGAAAATAATGGAATGTTTGGTAACAAATTGAAGTGCTTTACTAATTACATGATCCTTTTAAATCGTTGTTGCAGATCTAAAGAATGCTAGTCATGTCGATTTCGACGTTGAATTACAGCAGCAGGGAGCTCAATCAGTGGTAGAAAATACTATGAATTAATATCACCGCCTTGCCTAGTTTGGTAATAAACCATTAGCATGATTAGCAATCGAGGGTTTCAGTTTTTAAGACCAAGCGTGTCAGGTAGGCATTCTTGGGGTTCGTCCTACGTACTGTTCTGCGAGTTTTTCCCGATGTGGTCAAAACGTCAAGGAACCCCTCGGCCCTCATCGTCAGTCCCCTTGAAATACGTAAATATCACAGAGAAATATAAAAATATTAAATATTAAAAAATGGTGATGAAATATTCGGGAGGCCCTCTGAGTCATGCAGCCAAATATTCCAGCGTAGAGCTGATTGTATCGTGCAACATTTAAGATAGGAGACTGTACCTTTAGAACACAATTTCAGTAATAGAAAAGAGAATCCCTACACAAAATTGAATGATCCTATAAAAGAAATAAAAACGATCCTTTAAGGGGGCCGGGGGGGGGGGGGGTCTTCATCAAAATTCTTTCGAAATTGACTTTATAGTTGTTTCTTTGTAGAAGGGAGTGATATCTACCAGCTGCTTTTGGTCCCATGGAAAAATATTGTTCCTAGCCGAAATTATCGCCGGTCTAAGGTCAGCGCTTATGTGTAATTGTATTGCGCGAGCGATTTTCAATCGCAAATTCTGAAAATCGAGTCTAAAAATCTATCTTCTCCTACTTTTTGAGCAATCACCCTGAAACTTTCAGGATATGTTCTAGGGACAATTTAGAAGATTTGATCGAGCCAAAATTTTGAGATGGGCCTTTAAAAATTGTTTATTCAATTTTGAAAATCTTGGACCTGAAAAAATCGTAAAAAAAAGGTCCAAGATTTTCAAAATTGAATAAAAAATGTTTAAAGGCCTATCTCAAAATTTTGGCTCGATCAAATCTTTTAAATGGTCCCTAGAACATATCCTGAAAGTTTCAGGGTGATTGCTCAAAAAATGTAGGAGAAGATAGATTTTTAGACTCGATTTTCAGAATTTGCGATTGAAAATCGCTCGCGCAATACAATTACACATAAGCGCTGACCTTAGACCGGCGATAATTTCGGCTAGGAACAATATTTTTCCATGGGATCAAAAGCAGCTGGTAGATATTATTCCCTTCTACCAGAAACAACTATAAAGTCAATTTCGAGAGAACTTTGATGAAGACCCCCCCGGTCCCCTTAATTAGCTTTATCAAACGATATTACCCATGTAAAAAAAGATCTCAGGTGTCATACTGGTAAACTCTTGGAGTTTTTCCAGACGAAGTAACGATATAATAGTTTATTCTCGGAAATCGGAATTGTAAGAATGTCGTCCACTGAAATATCATTTCTGCATATCACATTAGTAGGAGTGTAATACTATAGAAATCCAATTACACAAATTTGATCCATGTTGGTGAAGTTCTCTCCTGGACTAGCTTAAGCTGTTATTTGGCATGCAGGAACCATTAATTACGATACAAATTATATTCCGATTTCAACGTATAACATGTTAAGGGGTCGTTCACATATTACGTAATCAGCCGAGGGGAAGGAGGTTCCCTAATGATTACGGTTGATTACGGGGGGTGGGGGGGTCTTGGCTGTTGGTTGGCTGATCATTACGTAATCAAAATTTTCTTTTAAATACCCTCTAGAATAATAACAATTTGACAATATTTAAATTCAAATTCCACTCAATTTCACTCTGATAGTGAACAAATTTAGGAATGGATCGGGTATCTGGCTGCTAAAGTAAGTAGTTTGGCCGGATATCATAACAATGATTTCGGGGGTAAAAATTGCTAAAATATTGATTACGTAATATGTGAACTACCCCTAAATGTCTTTGTGTGTTAATGCAATACCATATGACATAGTGACCCAATAAAAACTAAATTTAAACGTGGTTTTAGACTACCCTGCTCATGACGGTCTTCTCCAAACCAGATAACTGATCTAAGATTATTTCTGCACGCATTTTGCACCGAATGATAGTGACTAACTTTAGGGACATCATCTTACTATACAATTCTTGTCCAGATTATCCAATGGCAATACAGTCCGCTCGTTTCGGGTACATTTTGGAGCGCGCGAAATTTAAATTATTATGACTACATTCCTGGCACCATCTACATTGGCAGAAAAGAAATAAATTATGCACGAAGAAGCGGATTCAGATTTTAAAATGGGCTTTGTGTTATCATTCGACATTTGTGTTTAAATTTGTAGGATTGCTCTTTGATTATACCAAACCTCGAATAAACTGTGTGAATCCGTTGGAGCGGAACATGATTCGTATAATTGTCCAGCTCCAGTCTGCATAATGTGTATGTTTAAGTGCGGTAAACCGGGTGGCGGATAGAATTGAGACACTGTATATGTTCATACACGTTGATTTCAGTTTCTACGGTTACTTTCATGGCGCACTCTGAGCCCTTTCACTACAAATGACCGTATATGAATTTACACAGTGCTCCAATTCGAATATATACAATATGCCGATTACCGGTGTACCATTAAATAAGTTTGAGGAATTTGGCATTGTCGTAGATTCGTCGCAGCAAACATTTTGAATAAGTCACTTTTACATCGACAGCAACTACATATATAGCATATAATAGGGTTCAATTGATCCCAATTCCCACATCCGTCGACAGGTCCGGTCGTACATATTCTGCGCGCGCGTACTTTCTGCCACAGTGAATGTGCTGTGGGATCCTTTTGATATAAAATTATCAATTTTTCGCCCGACCGATAGATGCAGAAGATGAATCCATAAATTTAGAACCAAATGGGACAAATTTTAAAACATGATTTTAGGTGGTTTTTTTATCTCCAACTTCTATAACAGGTATTTAAACTTAGTCATGAATACAGTAAATAGTTAATGATCGTTTTTCACAAAGTTTGTTCATGACATGAACAAAATGAACGAAATCGACGAGAATAAAGAGGGACCAGTGTTGCTTAGCAGTTATTAAGGGCTGGGAAGCCCAAATTCGGTTTTATATTATGGATATACATTACACATACACATGTCGTTACAAGCTAGGCCTAGGGGCCATCAAAAGTCGCACAAAATGACCCAGGTTCATGGAATGAACGGAAATTAACGAAAATATATATTATCCTGAAAGTGCTCAGAATAGTTCAAAATTGGTCGGAAAGAGTTTGTGTTTGTCTTAAGGCTTTCCAGCACTCAAATACAGCCAATACTTCTATGTCCCCAAAATGGTTTCAAAAATCTGGATACTCATGAGGATTATTGGGACACAATTAGATTTTGGAACCACCATCACATCAGTTCTAGACATGCAGTGATTCTCGAACTTGGTTCGTTAATTTCCGTTAATTCCATGAGCCTGGGTCATTTTGTGCGACTTTCAATAACTGCTAGGCCTAACTTATAACTGTATATCCATTGCATCATTTACAATTATTTTTTGCACCATTTATGGCTTATTAGGGCAAATAAACGCATGTCCCAATTTTGTCCACTGGTTCCAATTTGGTTCCAATTTGGTTCCAATTTGGTTTTAAAAATCTGGATTCATCAAATCTAATAAATGACATTTATTTATTGTTTAGGGTAGATTATGCGGCAGAGAAAGAGAGGCTGGCGACCGTCCAGTAATGTAATTATTAAAAACTAAAATAACAACCATTTTAGAATCCAAGCTAAAATATACGACCGGATGACAAATATTGTTTATTGCTTACTAACAAAAAGGCAATATAATGTAATAAATAGATATACTTTAATCAAACACAAACAAAAAATGAGAATAATTACAATACAATGTTGTAATTTAGTTTACTTATTGTGGCTTTTGTACACCTCTCTGTACTAGTGGCAGCAGCTTACTGCTGAACCACGGACACCTGGAGAAGAGCTGTGTCCTTAGTGACACCTGGAGAAGAGCTTGTCGCTGTGTCCTTAGTGACACCTGGAGAAGAGCTTTTCGCTGTGTCCTTAGTGACACCTGGAGAAGAGCTTGTCGCTGTGTCCTTAGTGACACCTGGAGAAGAGCTTGTCGCTGTGTCCTTAGTGACACCTGGAGAAGAGCTTGTCGCTGTGTCCTTAGTGACACCTGGAGAAGAGCTTGTCGCTGTGTCCTTAGTGACACCTGGAGAAGAGCTTGTCGCTGTGTCCTTAGTGACACCTGGAGAAGAGCTTGTCGCTGTGTCCTTAGTGACACCTGGAGAAGAGCTTGTCGCTGTGTCCTTAGTGACACCTGGAGAAGAGCTTGTCGCTGTGTCCTTAGTGACACCTGGAGAAGAGCTTGTCGCTGTGTCCTTAGTGACACCTGGAGAAGAGCTTGTCGCTGTGTCCTTAGTGACACCTGGAGAAGAGCTTGTCGCTGTGTCCTTAGTGACACCTGGAGAAGAGCTTGTCGCTGTGTCCTTAGTGACACCTGGAGAAGAGCTTGTCGCTGTGTCCTTAGTGACACCTGGAGAAGAGCTTGTCGCTGTGTCCTTAGTGACACCTGGAGAAGAGCTTGTCGCTGTGTCTCGTCCTTAGTGACACCTGGAGAAGAGCTTGTCGCTGTGTCCTTAGTGACACCTGGAGAAGAGCTTGTCGCTGTGTCCTTAGTGACACTCAGTGAGAACACCAAATGCCCGTTCAGCACAGTCGTTGACAACAGAAGTGGCTCGAACCATTGCCCTGAGTGTCCTTAAGTTAGTGTTTGTATCCCAACTGCTGACTGGTTCACAGAGAAAAGTTGGCTCCACTCCGTATAGTTCAAAGAACGTGAATGAATCAGGACCCACAAACTCCTTCAGTTTCCGTTTATTAAACCGGTCAGTGAGGGGCTGTTGCTGCTGCTTCTTCATGGGCTGGGACCTGTGACGAAGAGTTTGCTGGGTCATCCCGTGTTGCTCTGTATCACTCAGATGACTTGAGAAAGAGAGGCACCAGTCTTTCGCTCAAATACCAAAGGTGCCCAGCTGCCATCTGGCTTCAACCAGCTCTTTAAACGTGCTTGTAACATTACTAACCAGCTCTTTAAACGTGCTTGTAACATTACTAACCAGCTCTTTAAACGTGCTTGTAACATTACTAACCAGCTCTTTGAACGTGCTTGTAACATTACTAACCAGCTCTTTAAACGTGCTTGTAACATTACTAACCAGCTCTTTAAACGTGCTTGTAACATTACTAACCAGCTCTTTAAACGTGCTTGTAACATTACTAACCAGCTCTTTAAACGTGCTTGTAACATTACTAACCAGCTCTTTAAACGTGCTTGTAACATTACTAACCAGCTCTTTGAACGTGCTTGTAACATTACTAACCAGCTCTTTAAACGTGCTTGTAACATTACTAACCAGCTCTTTAAACGTGCTTGTAACATTACTAACCAGCTCTTTAAACGTGCTTGTAACACTACTAACAAGTGCTGAACAGTGTCGTAAGAGCTAGGTCCTGTGCTGGAGCATCAGCGGCACTTGTGCAGCACAGCTAGTACTGCACTTGTGCAGCACAGCCAGTACTGCACGTAAAATAGTGCGAGGTACCCAGTTCTTCTATCAGGTCAAGGCAATCTTCCTAGAACACATCAGATAGCTGTTTTCTGAACAGAGTTATCTTAAATGTGTACAGCATTCCTGCCATCCACCTGGCATGGTGGGTGGCTCCAGGTGCCCTGAACTTGATCCCGTCAGGATCCCCACGTTCCCCCAAGCAGATGCAGAGCTAACTCTGCAAGTTCAGGATAATCGTACCGCAGAGTGCAGCACGAATCCTCGTCCTTTACAAATTCTGTAAGGAATGTGGAGGCCTGCAGCCCCTTCAAGAAACTCCCAGAAATGGTTGGCAGGGAATAGTCGCTGGTCTTGATGCATTCCCATACACCGCAGAAAGCCTTGTAGCAGCTCTCATCTGGAGATGTCGTGTCTCCATACACCACTGAGCAGGCAGCACCTCCCCAGATCTCTAAAACATGATGTCGTGTCTCCATACACCACTGAGCAGGCAGCACCTCCCCAGATCTCTGAAACATGATGCCGTGTCTCCATACACCACTGAGCAGGCAGCACCTCCCCAGATCTCTAAAACATGATGCCGACAGGCAAATTGTAGCAGAGATCTGTTGAGGTGCCCCTCCAGCCGAACACCCTTGTGGATCCCATAATCGACGCTGGTTGTGTCAAACATTTATCAGTGACGTGTTTATCTGTATCTTCTGTAGCATGCTGATAACCTCCTTCAGTACTGTATCAGCTGATCCCTGAAGCATGCTGATAACCTCCTTCAGTACTGTATCAGCTGATCCCTGGTTTTGGTCCGCTGTTTCATTAAAACAGTTCACCGTGCATTAATCTCTAAAACCATATCACGGATAAGACAGGTAACCTTGGAGGGGATGTTGGTATTCAGCCACCAATCTGTAATCAAACCAGCCACACAACTAGCCACAGAAGATGCATTTCCGTGGTCAGATGTCTGGGCAACCACGTGCTGAAAATAAAAACCCGTTACAAACTGAGCGATTTAGTTTTCACAAGACTTTGAAAATACGACATTTTAAAAATGCGAATTAAAACTTCGTTGAATAAATAAATAAAGACCCACCATGCTCCTAAACTCTCCACACCTCTTCGTTTGTGGGGGGCTTTGAGCAAACAAAAGGACCAGGTGGCAAGGTACAGCGATAGAGATTTTCCAGGTGTCTAGGGAACTGTTTCATTTTGCTACAAAAGATAAAATCAAGCTAACATAATTAATTATCCATAGAAAATTATCATATTATACTGGAAAACCATTAGGGTCAGCAACAAAATGCTCTTTATTTGAAGGGAAAATTCCATTCCTATCCAAAATTATCATAATTTAAACTCTAACAGAATGACAGCTCGGTCTGCAAACAAAATATCACGCAAAAAAAGCTGTCTACAACCAAACTGTCTACAATGTGCCATCTTCAGTGATCCTGTAAGATGGTCATTCAACAAAAATTCAGTCAAAAAAGTGAAATTTGGGTCACGGAAAGCTGAAATTCGAATATGTCCTACCGGTAGGACATATCACATAATCAACATTCAAAGTTTTCTCCGTTTATACTGCTTCCAGTACCTTGATGGCCGTATGAAGGCCATATAGAGGCCGTATAGTGGCCGTATGGATGCCGTATAGTGGCCGTATAGATGCCGTATAGAGGCCGTATAGAGGCCATATAGAGGCCGTATAGACGCCGTATAGTGGCCGTATAGAGGCTAAACCTAATCGTCCACTTAAATCGCCCAATCACGTATAGCACGTCATGTGGTCAGGGTCACGATGACCAATGTTCAGTGTTATATACAAATATATAATTTGATTCGTACGACTTAATTTATTGATCGTGTGTGATGAGATGCATAATGTAAAACATATCATATTTCAGTGAATATTTTATGTGATAGAAAATTGTTTAACCTGATTAGATTTTAGTCAGTCCCAACTCTTGCTTCATATATATCGTCTTTAGCTGTGTCGTATTTATCTGCTATTTAGCAAAGATCACAAATAGGTACTACATACTAACTATTAGTCTTAATCTCACTTTGATATAACAAGTACCTAGATGTCTCCAACATTTTCCTACGTTCAGACAACAAGCAGAGCTAGAGTTTTACAATTTTAAGCCGCATTTTCATAACACAAACATAATATGCATTATTACTAAATTTATTTGTCCTAACATGCAGCTGAACATTTTAACATTCCGTTGATCGGTGTGATATCTGATTTAGACTGCGTTCTACCACACGCAGAGATAAACTAACTACTTCGTCACACATTAGCTTTGTGTTTGAAAAGTCAGTGTACGTGCTTTTCTTTCCTTTTCTATCGCAGTCGAATAGTTTTAGTCTTTCCTACTTTATAGTTGGTACTTGGTCTATAACCCGTTCGAATCGGGAAAAATTTTAAATTTGTTTTTGCTATTTATAGATTCCCGTTTTGTCGCCATGTTTTTATTTAAATGTCTTGAGTTCTGATACTTTGAAATTGAGCTGTTGATTACGTACTTTGTTTAACTTGTTAAGTTGTTAAGTTGTTATGAATGAGCGATTGTTCATTGTCCGCGTAGAATATGATGAATGTTTTTAACTACTGTGTGTAGTCAGTGTAGCTTACTACTTAACTACTAGAAGATATAATCAACAATCATATTGAACAACATATAAGGTAAATTTACTCCTGGATTCACGAACAAACGAACAAATAATGAATAAATCATAAGACTGATCTTAATTAAATTTTAATCGAACAGAGAGCTGCAGTAAAATCCACGATAAGTACGTGTTTTTTATTCTAGCTCACACACACACACACCTGGTGTGGTGGACGCCGCTTCACACTCATGATTTATAATTCAATCACTCGGCTACTCATAATACACTCGTAATACTCTTCACACGTTTACATGTTCAGTAGCTTTGTTTGAAGTTGTTATATATGATAATTGACCCCATGTACATGTCTAAGGTTAACATCATTGTTGGTAGTTAGAAAGTAGCAGTTTATTCAGCTTAATTTAATTATGACTCGTTCTGAGATTTATCTTTGTTGAATTGATTTTGAAGTTTTAGGTAAAAGCAGCTATTTTTTGTGAAGAAATCATTTTGTTTTTGAATAAATCAAACATTGTTATATTAGAAACTGAAACTAGATACACCGATAGCTATTGAATTAAGCAACTTAAGTAGATAAACTGTCACTACCAGCTGAGCGTACAGTTTGTAATAGTAGATTCTCTGTATAAACTATCATGTATGGTTATGATGTGATTATGTAAGTTCTTCTCGTCCGGACCGTGGTCGATGGCAAAAACAATGAAATTATAAACGTGGGCAACAGTCTAGGTTTAATTTGACACGTGATACTGTGATAGTTATTTGTCGAGCAGTGTACACTGTACATTGCACACTGTACACTGTACACTGTACACTGTACACTGTACACTGTACACTGTACACTGTACACTGTACACTGTACACTGTACACTGTACACTGTACACTGTACACTGTACAGCATTGATCTATCAAATCCCACATTGCTGTCACGTGTCAAAACTAACTTGCAGCACAAGTTCCCGCTATTACCCAGTCCTGTCTAGCTTAGAAGGAGACTAAACTCATACAGGCATGTTACAAGTCCCGTTGTATCGATATAATTCGGTTGAAATCACTTTTCTGTCACACTCAAGAGCCAAGGCTGACAGGAATGTGTTAAGTGTACATGAATCAGTGTAAGGTATTCAAGTTATCTTACCTGGGTGCTCTGTGTTTGGTTTATATTGTGATACATCCTCAATGATCTCATGAAACTTTACCTTCTGTGTTTACCGTTTAATCATTCAGTTTCAATTGTTGTCGTTAGTTCATGCTTCTAGTTTTAATTCAGTTGAGTACTTAGCTTGGCAGAAAAATAATCACCAATTACTTTCCAGTCCTTAGCTAGTTACAAGTTCCTTAATATCCAACCAGATATATATCCAACTATCAGTAATTTAAAACCTATAGTTTTCAACATTAGGGAGGAGGGGGCGATAAACAAGTTTTACCGATACATTTTCTACAGCTTGAAAATGGCTCAGCTCCCTAATCCGGGTATGACATTGGCCGGATTTCTTGCCCAACTTTTGTTTATCAAAGAATCATATACAGAGCGTCAGTATACACCTGGAACGATTCGGTAATCTGCAGAAAGTGAGGGGATACTGTGGTTTCTGCTGGTCACCCTCTCCATTGATTGCGGTTTCATAACGGCCACAAGAAGTAAGAAAACAACTGGCTCAGGGACTTCTTACGTTTGTGGGATCTCTCATACTGAACTTCAGCGGTGACAATCTCGGATACTTGACACTTTACTGCACCAAACATCATTATTCGTATTATTTTAACTATTACAGTCACCAAAACACCAGGGACATCTACACATACTGCACCATCCCAATTATGGGACTGGCATCCAATTGTCATAATGGCAAACACATCCCTGAAAAAGGTTCGGCTCAGTTGCTTCTGCCTGCGCGAGGCAACTGAAGATAAATACCAATCGGCCGGACCCAGAAATTATTCTGTTGGGGGTTTGCCTCCAATTCACGGTCAGAAAGAATTGTTTACGTTACTCCTGCAAGCAATCAGTCATCTTTGGTTTTTGGCGCCAAGAGTGGGTTGGGAAGTTGGCTGGAGCTTTTGGCAGTGTCAGGCATCCTCGTCATCTTCACCTGCATAACAACAATCAAAACAATATAGGGTAACTCGGTCATTGCTACATTTTTTTGCTCATTCAACATACATCTAACTATCGGTGGTATAGGAAGTAAAGCAATCTCTTGTGCAAGTCCTACGCCAGAAGATAATCAGGATAACAAAATGTATATAACTACGTCCAAATATGTCACTTAGATCCTCAACGGGATATCTGCCCTTAACCTCAATCGTCCTGAAGAACAATCCACACTCATCACAAAACTCCTGGTCCACCAGCCCACATTCCACCAGCTCCCATCCTCCCTCCAGCCCACATTTCTGGGGTTATTGTTTGCTCCCCATGCTCCTCCCTATCCTGGCCCCCACCCACTCCATATACTACCTGCACCTCCCACCCCTCAAACCCCACCCTCGAGCTGCTGCTTACCACTGCCGTCCCTGAAGAGCCCTACACATCAAGCGAACAAAACCCTCCTCCCTACTCCTTTTCAAAAGATGATTTGCCTCCTCCTTACTCCAGCCTCCCAAGACCTAGCCGTTAAGTTCATGAGAAACTTCTATTGACTTTACGCTACTAAATTTATAGGTACTGTTAACTGTTATCATACTGTCATGTACTTCCAAGAACACAGATATTTATTATAAACCCCTCCGGGATAGAATAAGATTCTGATAATCCCGGCTCCCGCTAAATAGATTCTGATAATCCCGGCTCCCGCTGTTAGTTTTTTCCCGCTGAATAAATAACCCCGGCACAGCTTTTATAATCCCGCCCCGCTAATTTGGCTCAACAAGATTTGTTTTGTTTTGATATTCCATGAGAATTTCAACCGCGTACTGTCACGTGTTTTGATGACGTGTATCACGTGACTAACTACTACGACGCGCATTGGTAAAAAATGTCACGTGACCTATGGCTTAACGTAAGAACTATAAATACACTCGATCTACGTATCGGTCTAATTGCAGGCGCTGGCAAAACTCCAGCACACTACATTACTTAAACTCTTACATTAATTGGACCAGTTCCAAAACTTGTCTCGACGGTTACATTTGATTTTGTCCGGTTCGGTTAATTTTGTCGAGTTTGATATAAGCCATGTATTATAGTCGTCTACTTTGATGAACTTCATGACACGATATCATTATTAGCTTTTATCGCTTGCCAGGCTTAACTCGACGCCCCTTATCGATATTCATATTCATTCAACGTGTTTAGATATAACGCCAATTTCAAAAGTCATAGTACCTTAGTTGTATTTATTTGGAAGTCCCCAATTCCATTTCATATTTTCCATAATGATCTCATATAGCTAGAATTAAGAGTAAAATGTCAAATTTGTTGGTCCTAGCACTTACCCGGAGGGGTTTATAACACATAACACCGGCACGCTTAAGTTATATTAAAATAACCCCTCGTGCTAAAGCACGTCGGGGTTATTTTCATAATAATCCCTCGTGCTTCGCACTCGAAATTATTATAAATTTTTCCCGCGCGTCGCGGGAAAAATTGAAATATAATCCCTGCGCATGCCGGGGTTATGTGTGTTATAAATACTGATTCTAATTTATATTAGAGATCCTTTTTGGTGGAGAGCATGCACACGTCATGTCGTCATGAAACTTGTTTAGTCATATGAAAATATGCCAGTTCAGTGACACCACGATGACTCGCCAGTAACAATCTGGTGGCCCTTTGACTAGAACTACATAGTATTGTTATGAGGTTGAGAAATAGCAACCACGTGACCTAAATGTCACGTGATTACAGTTTATGTAAACTCGTGTGAGAACATTCTTCCCAGGAGACGGATGTCTGTTGCGGCCATCGATAAATGTTACCAAATATAAGTTGTTAACCTCGTGTGGGAAATGTGATGGAAGGGAGAATATGTAAAATGTTTATATTTTTCTAATGTTTTAAGTTTAACATAGGTATGGCAGTGATTTGTAACCTTAAAGTTCTTGGATTAGACTATGTTTAATAACCATCTTATCACCCACACGATTGATTAAATAATTGTTAATAGAATGTGGTTTTAACAGAATTTTGGAACTGTGCGGAAAACAGATTTAGAAAGATGAATTTGATTTTCGTGTTTGATTTGGTATTAAAATCTAATTGACAATTAATGGCAACTTAAATTTACAAAAAGGGCAGTAATTCGTTCAAATAAATTTCGAATTATTACACTTCACATAAGTTCAAATCAAAATAAATTACAAAAAAATTGGAGTAGCAAAACCTATAATATATATATATATATACACCGAAGTATAATATATCAAAAAGTAGAAAGCAAAGGTAGTTGCAAAATAGATTAAATTGCATATAGATCCAGAGCGTATTGCTCTTATCTGAAAATAATTTATAAACAACAATTTAAAAAACGAGAAAAATTCCAACCCTCACTAAATTACCCCTGCATTAGTTTAGTTAGTCGGTTAATAGTATCTTGAGTATTCTTTAAAAGTTCCTCATCACCCATGTCACCCTCCTTGAACTCTTGCTGATCTCCTTGGTATACAGGCGTACGTTCACTCGCAACGTAGATCTTCAAATCTGCCGGCAGATTATCCTGAAATATGGTGGTTTACTGGGTTAGATAAAAATAGAAGGGTTCCCTAATTGATTTTCGGTCTGTTGCTAAGGTTACCTTAGGATTAAATGGTTCTTTCATGTGACCAACGAAGAAGTTCTTAGGAGGGCTGGCATCAAGTCTGTTAAGACTTTCATCAGTGCTGCCAGGCTACGTTGGTATGGACATGTAGTTAGACTCTAGACTACCGAGGTTTCTGTTGAACTGGAAGCCAAATTATGGAAAGAGGTCAAGGGGCAGACCCCGTAAGAACTGGAAATTCTGCGTACTCGAAGATGCTGCTAAGTTTAGAGGTGTTGAAAACATCGACAACAACACAACAGAAGCTTTGGCTACCAACCGAGTACAGTGGAGACATATGTTACGCCGCCAACGCGATGTGTGTGATGCAGGCCACTCCAACGACTAGGAGGAGACCTTACCATGTAACATGTAATGTATGCTAAGGTTACCAACAAGGATGCAGAACCTCAAATGCTTTCCGAAAGAAACGTAGTCCAATTGCATCATCTAGACAGTAGCCACAAAATAAAAGGCAGTAATTTATTTTCTTGCATCTTCAGGATTTTCAAGTATCCTCTCACTGTCGTCTTAACTAATTAAGAAGTAAAAACCAAGTTAGGAACACCAAGACATCAAGGCACGTCTTGCAATGTCAGTGTAACTTACCCTATTCCAATTTTTATAATATCATATATCGAAGGTCATATTAATCACAAATCTTGAATAAGGTCAATAAAAAAGTAGGATCGGGTAACCAATATCAGGTAACCGATATAATAGCCAATATAATAGCCCAAGAAGCACAAAGACGAAACTTTGAAAGAAACGTGATTAAATTGCAATGGACCTCAACACGACTCTCAACTAGTTAAATTTTCTACTCAAAATCAGATTCGCGCAAGCAAATTAACGTGCATAAACAAATCTAGGGTGTTACTTAAAAGAAATTAACCGCATTAACAACGCCATCATTTTCATAATCATTAAACACTGCAACTGGAAACTACGACGATGTGCATGTTAAGTGTTGATGGTGTATACCTGCTGACTTCTGACTGCTGAGGATCATAACGAGCACACAAATACTTTGCCTCCTCTGTGGTGATTTAATTTTACGACAATTTTGATTTTGTTTCGCTGCCAAATTGCAGATTTTGTCCAATTTTATCTGTTCTAGCACCGTTAATCGTGGTTTTATCGGTGTCTACAACAACTGATCTTTATTTGAATTAATTATATATTGTTTTAAGATAATATTAAAGTCACTATTGTGACGGTACATTAGAACTAGACAGAAACAAAGTGTGAAGGGACTCAAGGGCCTGAACGAATATGCAATTCGGTCGGGTTGCGGTTGAAAGCTCCATAAATAGCTTAGATGCTGCTGGCTTTAGCCATGACTCAATTTTATCAGCATTTTAATCAATTGATTCAAAATCTATATCGTAAGAAATAACAAAATGAAATGTGTACTTTGTGCATTACATTTGTTTACACTTAACACTAACATTAACTCAGTTGTTGTTTCCGAAGCGATGAGAAAGTTGGTAAGATTGAGTCTAGTATTAATGTTCTGAATGGCACTAGAACTTAGTTTATCCTGAGCTGTAGTTGTATGCAGACAGACAAGAATGACGAATACTCGGATATACCAGTCGTGGCTATAAAGATGCTGAGGTGGATTGGAAAGGGCAGACGTAACAAAAAGAGACATGACCTTACCATTCTGGCGAAAGTGGTCAAAATATATAGACAGGGTACAAAAGTGGAGGCCCAAATAGGTCAAGAAATCCGCCTTAAAACCCTCAAGGATTCATCGGCTTGTGGACGAGCTCACGATTTCGAGAAACGCAAAGAAACACCCTGCTACTAGAGTAAGAGTACATCATGAAATTTCCTCGTGAATACGTGATGTCCAAAAAAGGTAAACCTAAGATAAATGTACATTCCTGCCAGTTCTTTGTTGAAAGGGATGATGACGCGGACAAATACTTTGAAGAATTGAACTGCAGACAGGAGAAGAAAGGAAGGGGTTGAAAGGAAAGAAGAAGAAAGGAGGCCGGAGCGAGGGGGTTGGATATAATCGATTTTCATGCAAATCATACGTTTTCGACTTACAAATTATAATGAATGATCATAAACAACTATTGAAAAAAATTGGAGTACAACTTTTCATTGTAAATATAATATATTAACTATCATTAAAATAACTATATATTATTAACTATAATTAATCATAGTCAATTGTTTTTCGTGACTCTGGAAAGATTGTTCAAAATGGAACTCAATCAATTTTAAATCTAAAAAAGCATGTTCGATAAGTAATCAAGTACGTGATAGGTATGTTACAGATGATTGTGATTTGCGACTTCTTGATTCACAATCTGTGACGTGCACTTACAAATACATAAGGGGTTTCAGAAGAGGGGTTTCAGAAGAGGGGTTTCAGAAGAGGGGTTTCAGAAGCTTTCAAATAACTCGTCTTCGACTAACGGCTCATATTTTTTCGAGCTTATTCCTCAGCTTGGTACCATCAATTATTTTGTGAGTAAACAAGTACAACAATATTAGAGACGGTGATTTAGGTTACCTAATACCGTCTGTAAATCTGAAAAGTATAAGAACTCACAAAGATATTCTGGTCTGCTCGATTAGCCAACTCGTACGTGATGTCCAGCTTCTGCTCCCACATGGACCAGTAATCTGGGAACTTGACCAGGATGTCCTTCAAACGCTGATAAAGAACCGGTTAACTGGGTCTCAGTGCTACACTGTGATCGTAGCGCGTAGGTAGTTTGCAATTCATTAATTAATTACAATTCATACATGTGTCAGCTAAATTTGGTGAATTTTGGTAAATTTAAATTATAAATCCGTAGAAACAATAAATGTTTACCTCGTGGGTCAACACCTCGATTTCGGCGTATGTCATTGCTTGTATGTCTGCGTTTGCTTTGCCTGACGCGGCTGTCGGCCACCATTTCTCTCCGAATGTGTCTCCCATTGCTAAACAAGAAACATGATAAACGTATCGAACGCTCAAAGGTAAAAATAAAAATGCTTTACAATTACACGAAATATAAGATACGATTTAAAAATTCTCCAATAAATTACAGACTTACTTAGAATTCCAATGACGTCACCGTCCTTCAGAATCTTCACGTGACCACGAACCAGAAAGTACACTGCATCAACACAGTCTTCTTCGTGGACTATGTAATCTCCAGGAGTGAAACCTACATTGAAACTTACAGTAAAACTACAGTAAAACTACAGTAAAACTACAGTAAAACTACAGTAAAACTACAGTAAAACTACAGTAAAACTACAGTAAAACTACAGTAAAACTACAGTAAAACTACAGTAAAACTACAGTAAAACTACAGTAAAACTACAGTAAAATTACAGTAAAACTACAGTAAAACTACAGTAAAACTACAGTAAAACTACAGTAAACATTCAAGTTGTCAATACTCTAATTTTATTCATCAATAATTCGACTGATATTGTATGGTTATTTAATCATATCATTCCGTCGTTACGTACTAGAAGCGTTGATAATATGATCCAGTGTGACCTACCATGCCTCTCAACAAGTGAGCTCAGAGACCGTCTACAGCCTGTACCTACCATGCCTCTCAACAAGTGAGCTCAGAGACCGTCTACAGCCAGTACCTACCATGCCTCTCAACAAGTGAGCTCAGAGACCGTCTACAGCCAGTACCTACCATGCCTCTCAACAAGTGAGCTCAGAGACCGTCTACAGCCTGTACCTACCATGCCTCTCAACAAGTGAGCTCAGAGACCGTCTACAGCCAGTACCTATCATGCCTCTCAACAAGTGAGCTCAGAGACCGTCTACAGCCAGTACCTACCATGCCTCTCAACAAGTGAGCTCAGAGACCGTATACAGCCAGTACCTACCATGCCTCTCAACAAGTGAGCTCAGAGACCGTATACAGCCAGTACCTACCATGCCTCTCAACAAGTGAGCTCAGAGACCGTCTACAGCCAGTACCTACCATGCCTCTCAACAAGTGAGCTCAGAGACCGTCTACAGCCAGTACCTACCATGCCTCTCAACAAGTGAGCTCAGAGACCGTGTACAGCCAGTACCTACCATGCCTCTCAACAAGTGAGCTCAGAGACCGTATACAGCCAGTACCTACCATGCCTCTCAACAAGTGAGCTCAGAGACCGTATACAGCCAGTACCTACCATGCCTCTCAACAAGTGAGCTCAGAGACCGTCTACAGCCTGTACTAGCCTCGTTAAACACAGGCCACTCCGCAAACAGAATCCTGTGAAGGAAGAGAGAAGTGTCTTCCTTGAGGGTCCTGGGCCAATCCTGCATCATCTGGGAGTGCTCAATACCTTTACTGTTGAACCAGTGGTAGTAGAAATAGTCCTCCATTCGGTTCTGAGAAAGTGAAATATCAGTGATAACAACAGACTGATGAGGGCCAGGTTGTAATATCAGTGATAACAACAGACTGATGAGGGTTTACTTGAAATATCAGTGATAACAACAGACTGATGAGGGTTTACTTGAAATATCAGTGATAACAACAGACTGATGAGGGCCAGGTTGTAATATCAGTGATAACAACAGACTGATGAGGGTTTACTTGAAATATCAGTGATAACAACAGACTGATGAGGGTTTACTTAAAATATAAGTCATAACAACAGAGTGATGAGGGTTTACTTGTATACAATATCAGTGATAACAACAGACTGATGAGGGTTTACTTGTAATATCAGTCATAACAACAGACTGATGAGGGTTTAATTGAAATATCAGTGATAACAGCTGACTGATGAGGGTTTACTTGTAATATCAGTGATAACAACAGACTGATGAGGGTTTACTTGAAATATCAGTGATAACAACAGACTGATGAGGGTTTACTTGTATACAATATCAGTGATAACAACAGACTGATGAGGGTTTACTTGTAATATCAGTCATAACAACAGACTGATGAGGGTTTAATTGAAATATCAGTGATAACAGCTGACTGATGAGGGTTTACTTGTAATATCAGTGATAACAACAGACTGATGAGGGTTTACTTGAAATATCAGTGATAACAACAGACTGATGAGGGTTTAATTGAAATATCAGTGATAACAGCTGACTGATGAGGGCCAGGGTTTACTTGTAATATCAGTGATAACAACAGACTGATGAGGGTTTACTTGAAATATCAGTGATAACAACAGACTGATGAGGGTTTACTTGAAATATCAGTGATAACAACAGACTGATGAGGGTTTACTTGTATACAATATCAGTGATAACAACAGACTGATGAGGGTTTACTTGTAATATCAGTCATAACAACAGACTGATGAGGGTTTAATTGAAATATCAGTGATAACAGCTGACTGATGAGGGTTTACTTGTAATATCAGTGATAACAACAGACTGATGAGGGTTTACTTGAAATATCAGTGATAACAACAGACTGATGAGGGTTTACTTGAAATATCAGTGATAACAACAGACTGATGAGGGTTTACTTGTAATATCAGTGATAACAACAGACTGATGAGGGTTTACTTGAAATATCAGTGATAACAACAGACTGATGAGGGTTTACTTGAAATATAAGTCATAACAACAGACTGATGAGGGTTTACTTGAAATATCAGTGATAACAACAGACTGATGAGGGTTTACTTGAAATATCAGTGATAACAACAGACTGATGAGGGTTTACTTGAAATATCAGTGATAACAACAGACTGATGAGGGTTTACTTGAAATATAAGTCATAACAACAGACTGATGAGGGTTTACTTGTAATATCAGTGATAACAACAGACTGATGAGGGTTTACTTGAAATATCAGTGATAACAACAGACTGATGAGGGTTTACTTGTATACAATATCAGTGATAACAACAGACTGATGAGGGTTTACTTGTAATATCAGTGATAACAGCTGACTGATGAGGGTTTACTTGTAATATCAGTGATAACAACAGACTGATGAGGGTTTACTTGAAATATCAGTGATAACAACAGACTGATGAGGGTTTACTTGTAATATCAGTCATAACAACAGACTGATGAGGGTTTACTTGAAATATCAGTGATAACAACAGACTGATGAGGGTTTACTTGTAATATCAGTGATAACAACAGACTGATGAGGGTTTACTTGAAATATCAGTGATAACAGCTGACTGATGAGGGTTTACTTGTAATATCAGTGATAACAACAGACTGATGAGGGTTTACTTGAAATATCAGTCATAACAACAGACTGATGAGGGTTTACTTGTATACAATATCAGTGATAACAACAGACTGATGAGGGTTTACTTGAAATATCAGTGATAACAACAGACTGATGAGGGTTTACTTGAAATATCAGTGATAACAACAGACTGATGAGGGTTTACTTGTAATATCAGTCATAACAACAGACTGATGAGGGTTTACTTGAAATATCAGTGATAACAACAGACTGATGAGGGTTTACTTGAAATATCAGTGATAACAACAGACTGATGAGGGTTTACTTGTAATATCAGTCATAACAACAGACTGATGAGGGTTTACTTGAAATATCAGTGATAACAACAGACTGATGAGGGTTTACTTGAAATATCAGTGATAACAACAGACTGATGAGGGTTTACTTGTAATATCAGTCATAACAACAGACTGATGAGGGTTTACTTGAAATATCAGTGATAACAACAGACTGATGAGGGTTTACTTGAAATATCAGTGATAACAACAGACTGATGAGGGTTTACTTGTAATATCAGTGATAACAACAGACTGATGAGGGTTTACTTGAAATATCAGTGATAACAACAGACTGATGAGGGTTTACTTGAAATATCAGTGATAACAACAGACTGATGAGGGTTTACTTGAAATATAAGTCATAACAACAGACTGATGAGGGTTTACTTGAAATATCAGTGATAACAACAGACTGATGAGGGTTTACTTGTAATATCAGTCATAACAACAGACTGATGAGGGTTTACTTGAAATATCAGTGATAACAACAGACTGATGAGGGTTTACTTGAAATATCAGTGATAACAACAGACTGATGAGGGTTTACTTGAAATATCAGTGATAACAACAGACTGATGAGGGTTTACTTGTAATATCAGTGATAACAACAGACTGATGAGGGTTTACTTGAAATATCAGTGATAACAACAGACTGATGAGGGTTTACTTGAAATATCAGTGATAACAACAGACTGATGAGGGTTTACTTGAAATATAAGTCATAACAACAGACTGATGAGGGTTTACTTGAAATATCAGTGATAACAACAGACTGATGAGGGTTTACTTGAAATATCAGTGATAACAACAGACTGATGAGGGTTTACTTGAAATATCAGTGATAACAACAGACTGATGAGGGTTTACTTGAAATATCAGTGATAACAACAGACTGATGAGGGTTTACTTGAAATATCAGTGATAACAACAGACTGATGAGGGTTTACTTGTATACAATATCAGTGATAACAACAGACTGATGAGGGTTTACTTGAAATATAAGTCATAACAACAGACTGATGAGGGTTTACTTGAAATATCAGTGATAACAACAGACTGATGAGGGTTTACTTGTATACAATATCAGTGATAACAACAGAGTGATGAGGGTTTACTTGAAATATAAGTCATAACAACAGACTGATGAGGGTTTACTTGAAATATCAGTGATAACAACAGACTGATGAGGGTTTACTTGAAATATCAGTGATAACAACAGACCTATGAGGGTTTACTTGTAATATCAGTGATAACAGCTGACTGATGAGGGTTTACTTGTAATATCAGTGATAACAACAGACTGATGAGGGTTTACTTGAAATATCAGTGATAACAACAGACTGATGAGGGTTTACTTGTAATATCAGTCATAACAACAGACTGATGAGGGTTTACTTGAAATATCAGTGATAACAGCTGACTGATGAGGGTTTACTTGTAATATCAGTGATAACAACAGACTGATGAGGGTTTACTTGAAATATCAGTGATAACAACAGACTGATGAGGGTTTACTTGAAATATCAGTGATAACAACAGACTGATGAGGGCCAGGTTGTAATATCAGTGATAACAGCTGACTGATGAGGGTTTACTTGTAATATCAGTGATAACAACAGACTGATGAGGGTTTACTTGAAATATCAGTGATAACAGCTGACTGATGAGGGTTTACTTGAAATATCAGTGATAACAACAGACTGATGAGGGTTTACTTGAAATATCAGTGATAACAACAGACTGATGAGGGTTTACTTGTATACAATATCAGTGATAACAACAGACTGATGAGGGTTTAATTGAAATATCAGTGATAACAACAGACTGATGAGGGTTTACTTGAAATATCAGTGATAACAACAGACTGATGAGGGTTTACTTGTATACAATTTGTATACATTTCTGTGTGGAACAGGGACAGAACCGACAAAAAATTTATAATAATGAATCACAGCAAGATTGGTAACCTTGAGATCAAGAGGAAACTTGTTGACGGAGGTGTATAGATCCAGATCTTTCTGTTGGTCCAGGAACCGAGACTGCTGGGCTCCCATTCTCATAATGATATTCGTAGCGGACCCGAAGATTATAGCGTAGAAGAACGCTGCAAAGTAGAAATTTTAACATTATATCAGTAATTTTCTAAAGATTATTTTTAACAGCAAATTAAGTAGGAAGAGAAAATGACGGGATGAGAAAATGACGGGATGAGAAAATGACGGAAGATATCTATTATATATATTACAGAAAATCAGCATTAAAAATAATGCTCCCACCTCCGATCAACATGACTATGACACAGAAAATCTGTTCCGAAACGTTCCAGGGTGCAATGTTTCCGAATCCAACGGTACAGAAAATAGTCATGACGAAATAAAGGGAGGCTGAGTAGAAATCCTCTTGTAAGTCTGTGGGTAGCATTTTGATATATATGAAAATTGAGGCTTTTCTTATCAGGATAAAATTAAAGCCAATTCAATGAGAAAAATTTGATGTGAACATGTTCATTTTAACAAAAGAAACAATAAAGATGATAATTTGATAGTTTATGACAAGCAAGATGCATCTTAAGTTTTATAATAAAATAAACAACTATAAAATTAAAATCAAAAAGATGTGAACTAAAAACCTTGTTCGCCAACAATATCAGGAGTAAGAACGAAATGGTTATTCTGAAGGTGATAAGTTACCCAGCCAGCAATATTACTCTCATAGTCACTCCGCCCCAACCAAAACCAGCCGCACGCGATCAAGTGACCCAACATAATGAAATACATGATGATGAGGATCAGGGAAATGGGACCGTTTTTAGTGTACTCGTCTAAGTGAAAGGCCACTTTAGCCATACGCAACACCCTTGTGAGCTTGAGGTACCTAAACGCCTGGAATTCGATGTTGTTTAGAAAATCTGATAAAAAATAAGAGAGCAAAAGTTAAAACAAGAAATGCAGGGAATGCAGCCGCTTTTCTTTTGTGGAAGGCTGCTCAATTTCCCGATCCGTGATGGCACATTTGTATGACGAAGCACGACGGTCGCAAGCTACCATTATATACGAAAAGAAAAACCTCGTTCGCTAACCCTTGTCCTTGGCTCTTTTGTGCCTTCAGCACAGGAGTCATGGATCGGGAAAAAATTTACTTTTAAAACTAAACATCTACGCAGGCTCATTCGGAAATTAATCCATTGTCAACTTACCTTGGCTGGCTTGATGAGCTGTAGAAACTGCCAGGGTACAGCAGTCAATAAATCAACAATAAACCACCCTTTCAAATAATGGGTCGCCATCTTTTTACTAGTCAGGATGACAAGCCCATCAGCGTTTACGAATGTAGTGCGGAAGTTCATTACCATATCAATGAGAAACAAAATATCCGTTATCAAATCAATCTGGAATAAGTTTGAACGATTAAATCGTTGTAGATTGTAGAACTTAGAAGCAATCACGAAGCCAATATAATAACAAAGGATAGAACCCAGCAAAATCATAAGCTTGAAATAGGTTTGATATGCAACTTCAATTCAATTTGATGTAAAAATAGGTAGTGAAACGACTTACATCTTTGGAGTAATAGATCTTTTCATCGAAACAGACTTGAACAGGAACTGAAAAAGTTGCCCAGATACTGGCAAGAAGTATAAACCAGTCCCATGTTTTACGAATAGTTGAGTCCGCCAGAAGGTTAACGCTCTCAAACAATTGTGTAAATCTTTGGAATATCTTCCTGAAAAATTTAAGGACTCGTTAGCCAAGGGTATCATGTAAAAATTACCGGTCCATTCGAAATGGGGCCGGGTCTGGAAATGTGGTAGAAATTAAAAGTTCGGCTTCAACCACATTTCTACAACCAATTCTAATGGGACCGCGACCGGTAGCAAACCTGATAGAAAATGACCCGGACCCAACAATATAAATAGAGTCGAATAATCTTTTTGGACACACACCTTTTGAATGATTTATGTTTCGTATACAATACTTTATCCTTGTTCTTCAATATCGGTGCAACAAGAGACTTTTCTCCCAACCAAACATTCAACTCTTTCTCCGGGTCTTTTTCTGCGGATAACGACGTTACTCACGTGTCACGAAAAAAAATCTACGAAGAGTTCATGCAAGAACATTTAAGTCTGGTTACCAGAATTCATTCCACATAATCTACTGCAAGAGTAATAAACTTTATACCTCCTTCGACAGGTCCATCTTTACTCTTGAACGGATCAAACGTCATGGCAAAGTACGAGTCGTTGTTGTGATGATCCGGTTTTTTGACTCGCAAGAGACCAATAGTGGTGGGAACAGGTATACCATCCTTAGTGTAGAGCACATAATCCAGTGTATTCTCGTTTGAGGCTTCAAGAGTATGTTTTATCTCACGTAATATTCCCTTTCTGGTACAGGGTCCCATCATAAACGCTAGTCTAGCATCCTTCAGGTACACATCGTTACGTGAATATCGATAGAAAGTGGTGAACTCGTTACTAACAAACACCACCGGGAAACTTGGTATCGTCACGTTCACTAACATGAACATTTGACCTGACAAGTTTATAATCGTTACTTTAGAGTTCACCAACATGAACATTTGACCTGACAAGTATATAATCGTTACTTTACAGTTAACCAACATGAACATTTGACCTGACAAGTATATAATCGTTACTTTAGAGTTCACCATCATGAACATTTGACCTGACAAGTATATAATCGTTACTTTAGAGTTCACCAACATGAACATTTGACCTGACAAGTATATAATCGTTACTTTAGAGTTCACCAACATGAACATTTGACCTGACAAGTATATAATCGTTACTTTAGAGTTCACCAACATGAACATTTGACCTGACAAGTATATAATCGTTACTTTAGAGTTCACCAACATGAACATTTGACCTGACAAGTATATAATCGTTACTTTACAGTTCACCAACATGAACATTTGACCTGACAAGTATATAATCGTTACTTTAGAGTTCACCAACATGAACATTCCACCTGACAAGTATATAATCGTTACTTTAGAGTTCACCAACATGAACATTCCACCTGACAAGTATATAATCGTTACTTTAGAGTTCAGTTTCACCAACATGAACATTTGACCTGACAAGTATATAATCGTTACTTTAGAGTTCACCAACATGAACATTTGAACTGACAAGTATATAATCGTTACTTTAGAGTTCACCAACATGAACATTTGACCTGACAAGTATATAATCGTTACTTTAGAGTTCACCAACATGAACATTTGACCTGACAAGTATATAATCGTTACTTTACAGTTCACCAACATGAACATTTGACCTGACAAGTATATAATCGTTACTTTAGAGTTCACCAACATGAACATTCCACCTGACAAGTATATAATCGTTACTTTAGAGTTCACCAACATGAACATTCCACCTGACAAGTATATAATCGTTACTTTAGAGTTCAGTTTCACCAACATGAACATTTGACCTGACAAGTATATAATCGTTACTTTAGAGTTCACCAACATGAACATTTGACCTGACAAGTATATAATCGTTACTTTAGAGTTCACCAACATGAACATTTGACCTGACAAGTATATAATCGTTACTTTACAGTTCACCAACATGAACATTTGACCTGACAAGTATATAATCGTTACTTTACAGTTCACCAACATGAACATTTGACCTGACAAGTATATAATCGTTACTTTACAGTTCACCAACATGAACATTTGACCTGACAAGTATATAATCGTTACTTTAGAGTTCACCAACATGAACATTTGACCTGACAAGTATATAATCGTTACTTTAGAGTTCACCAACATGAACATTCCACCTGACAAGTATATAATCGTTACTTTACAGTTCGCCAACATGAACATTTGACCTGACAAGTATATAATCGTTACTTTAGAGTTCACCAACATGAACATTTGACCTGACAAATATATAATCGTTATTTTAGAGTTCACCAACATGAACATTTGACCTGACAAGTATATAATCGTTACTTTACAGTTCACCAACATAAACATTTGACCTGACAAGTATATAATCGTTACTTTACAGTTCACCAACATGAACATTTGACCTGACAAGTATATAATCGTTACTTTACAGTTCACCAACATGAACATTTGACCTGACAAGTATATAATCGTTACTTTAGAGTTCACCAACATGAACATTTGACCTGACAAGTATATAATAGTTACTTTAGAGTTCACCAACATGAACATTTGACCTGACAAGTATATAATCGTTACTTTAGAGTTCACCAACATGAACATTTGACCTGACAAGTATATAATCGTTACTTTAGAGTTCACCAACATGAACATTTGACCTGACAAGTATATAATCGTTACTTTAGAGTTCACCAACATGAACATTTGACCTGACAAGTATATAATCGTTACTTTAGAGTTCACCAACATGAACATGTTTGACCTGACAAGTATATAATCGTTACTTTAGAGTTCACCAACATGAACATTTGACCTGAAAAGTATATAATAATCGTTACTTTAGAGTTCACCAACATGAACATTTGACCTGACAAGTATATAATCGTTACTTTAGAGTTCACCAACATGAACATTTGACCTGACAAGTATATAATCGTTACTTTAGAGTTCACCAACATGAACATTTGACCTGACAAGTATATAATAATCGTTACTTTAGAGTTCACCAACATGAACATTTGACCTGACAAGTATATAATCGTTACTTTAGAGTTCACCAACATGAACATATGACCTGACAAGTATATAATCGTTACTTTAGAGTTCACCAACATGAACATTTGACCTGACAAGTATATAATCGTTATTTTAGAGTTCACCAACATGAACATTTGACCTGACAAGTATATAATCGTTACTTTAGAGTTCACCAACATGAACATGTTTGACCTGACAAGTATATAATCGTTACTTTAGAGTTCACCAACATGAACATTTGACCTGACAAATATATAATCGTTACTTTACAGTTCACCAACATGAACATTTGACCTGACAAGTATATAATCGTTACTTTAGAGTTCACCAACATGAACATTTGACCTGACAAGTATATAATCGTTATTTTAGAGTTCACCAACATGAACATTTGACCTGACAAGTATATAATCGTTACTTTAGAGTTCACCAACATGAACATGTTTGACCTGACAAGTATATAATCGTTACTTTAGAGTTCACCAACATGAACATTTGACCTGACAAATATATAATAATCGTTACTTTAGAGTTCACCAACATGAACATTTGACCTGACAAGTATATAATCGTTACTTTAGAGTTCACCAACATGAACATGTTTGACCTGACAAGTATATAATCGTTACTTTAGAGTTCACCAACATAAACATTTGACCTGACAAGTATATAATCGTTACTTTACAGTTCACCAACATGAACATTTGGCCTGACAAGTATATAATCGTTACTTTACAGTTCACCAACATGAACATTTGACCTGACAAGTATATAATCGTTACTTTACAGTTCACCAACATGAACATTTGACCTGACAAGTATATAATCGTTACTTTACAGTTCACCAACATGAACATTTGACCTGACAAGTATATAATCGTTACTTTAGAGTTCACCAAGATGAACATTTGACCTGACAAGTATATAATCGTTACTTTAGAGTTCACCAACATGAACATTTGACCTGACAAGTATATAATCGTTACTTTACAGTTCACCAACATGAACATTTGACCTGACAAGTATATAATCGTTACTTTAGAGTTCACCAACATGAACATGTTTGACCTGACAAGTATATAATCGTTACTTTAGAGTTCACCAACATGAACATTTGACCTGACAAGTATATAATCGTTACTTTAGAGTTCACCAACATGAACATTTGACCTGACAAGTATATAATCGTTACTTTAGAGTTCACCAACATGAACATTTGACCTGACAAGTATATAATCGTTACTTTAGAGTTCACCAACATGAACATTTGACCTGACAAGTATATAATCGTTACTTTAGAGTTCACCAACATGAACATTTGACCTGACAAGTATATAATCGTTACTTTAGAGTTCACCAACATGAACATTTGACCTGACAAGTATATAATCGTTACTTTACAGTTCACCAACATGAACATTTGACCTGACAAGTATATAATCGTTACTTTAGAGTTCACCAACATGAACATTCCACCTGACAAGTATATAATCGTTACTTTACAGTTCACCAACATGAACATTTGACCTGACAAGTATATAATCGTTACTTTAGAGTTCACCAACATGAACATTTGACCTGACAAGTATATAATCGTTACTTTACAGTTCACCAACATGAACATTTGACCTGACAAGTATATAATCGTTACTTTACAGTTCACCAACATGAACATTTGACCTGACAAGTATATATTATATAATCGTTACTTTAGAGTTCACCAACATGAACATTTGACCTGACAAGTATATAATCGTTACTTTAGAGTTCACCAACATGAACATTTGACCTGACAAGTATATAATCGTTACTTTAGAGTTCACCAACATGAACATTTGACCTGACAAGTATATAATCGTTACTTTAGAGTTCACCAACATGAACATTTGACCTGACAAGTATATATTATATAATCGTTACTTTAGAGTTCACCAACATGAACATTTGACCTGACAAGTATATAATCGTTACTTTAGAGTTCACCAACATGAACATTTGACCTGACAAGTATATAATCGTTACTTTAGAGTTCACCAACATGAACATGTTTGACCTGACAAGTATATAATCGTTACTTTAGAGTTCACCAACATGAACATTTGACCTGACAAGTATATAATCGTTACTTTAGAGTTCACCAACATGAACATTTGACCTTAAAGTATATAATCGTTACTTTAGAGTTCACCAACATGAACATTTGACCTGACAAGTATATAATCGTTACTTTAGAGTTCACCAACATGAACATTTGACCTGACAAGTATATAATCGTTACTTTAGAGTTCACCAACATGAACATTTGACCTGACAAGTATATAATCGTTACTTTACAGTTCACCAACATGAACATTTGACCTGACAAGTATATAATCGTTACTTTAGAATTCACCAACATGAACATTTGACCTGACAAGTATATAATCGTTACTTTACAGTTCACCAACATGAACATTTGACCTGACAAGTATATAATCGTTACTTTAGAGTTCACCAACATGAACATTTGACCTGACAAGTATATAATCGTTACTTTAGAGTTCACCAACATGAACATTTGACCTGACAAGTATATAATCGTTACTTTAGAGTTCACCAACATGAACATTTGACCTGACAAGTATATAATCGTTACTTTAGAGTTCACCAACATGAACATTTGACCTGACAAGTATATAATCGTTACTTTAGAGTTCACCAACATGAACATTCCACCTGACAAGTATATAATCGTTACTTTAGAGTTCACCAACATGAACATTTGACCTGACAAGTATATAATCGTTACTTTAGAGTTCACCAACATGATCATTTGACCTTAAAGTATATATTCGTTACTTTAGAGTTCACCAACATGAACATTTGACCTGACAAGTATATAATCGTTACTTTAGAGTTCACCAACATGAACATTTGACCTGACAAGTATATAATCGTTACTTTACAGTTCACCAACATGAACATTTGACCTGACAAGTATATAATCGTTACTTTAGAGTTCACCAACATGAACATTTGACCTGACAAGTATATAATCGTTACTTTAGAGTTCACCAACATGATCATTTGACCTGACAAGTATATATTCGTTACTTTAGAGTTCACCAACATGAACATTTGACCTGACAAGTATATAATCGTTACTTTACAGTTCACCAACATGAACATTTGACCTTAAAGTATAGTATATAATCGTTACTTTAGAGTTCACCAACATGAACATTTGACCTGACAAGTATATAATCGTTACTTTAGAGTTCACCAACATGATCATTTGACCTTAAAGTATATATTCGTTACTTTAGAGTTCACCAACATGAACATTTGACCTGACAAGTATATAATCGTTACTTTACAGTTCACCAACATGAACATTTGACCCTAAAGTATAGTAAATAATCGTTACTTTAGAGTTCACCAACATGAACATTTGACCTGACAAGTATATAATCGTTACTTTAGAGTTCACCAACATGAACATTTGACCTGACAAGTATATAATCGTTACTTTAGAGTTCACCAACATGAACATTTGACCTTAAAGTATAGTATATAATCGTTACTTTAGAGTTCACCAACATGAACATTTGACCTTAAAGTATAGTATATAATCGTTACTTTAGAGTTTACCAACATGAACATTTGACCTTAAAGTATATAATCGTTACTTTAGAATTAGAATTAGAATTATAATCAAATTTACACAGCAATACAATAAGAATAAAAAATAATTTAAGAAGCTTCAATCTGCTGTGCAGGACATTCAAGTCAGTCGAAAACTGTTAGCAGAACACCCTTCTAGGGACATAAGGATATAGCATGTAAATTGTAAAACATAATGAGTAATAAATTAATGAGTGATCAAATAAGATATGATTTAACAGTGAACTGTGGGCATGAAGGTAACAATTAAGATTACATAGATGCCCACATTGGGATTACGTTAGTAATGTTATTTACAGTTATATACAGAGAAGTATAGAACAATAATAGATTGGCAAGTTTAGAGTTCACCAACATGAACATTTGACCTGACAAGTATATAATCGTTACTTTAGAGTTCAAGAAAATGCTCTTAACAAATACATTTTTAAAAACCTTAATCATTTGGCTTCGTCAGAGTTTTGTCGGCGTGACTATACCAAAAAAAAACCAGTCCCATATCTCTTACCGTTTTCTCGAGTTAACCATTCGTAAATTACAGACAGACAGACAGGCACACCCACACATTTATTGGGATTATTAGTATAGATTATGATCTTGATTTCATAATAACTTTGTATTGTAATTTAAAGTAAAACTCACTAATGCCATGTATTGTAGTCAGCATCTTTTCCAAATTCTCATTGTAAGAGTGATCAACATTCTGTAGTTCTGTAGCCTTTAAACTCTTTTCGATGTCAAGATTCACCAAGTTATCTGAAATTTTTAAGTAAGTATGATAACAGTTGAATCAACTTGAAAAGATTGTGATTTCTTCTAGCTGTTTCCAGTTTGAGCCTAAGACTTTGATAGTTGAATATGCATAGAGAACAAAATACCACATCACAAATTTTTTAATTATTGGAACAGCTCAAATGCATTGGAAAACAGCAAATGAATGTCTTACTTTCATAATCGTATGAATGATGCTTTGTCACTCTTCGAGCGTATGTGTTTGTAGAAATTAAATCTGTTAGATAGGCTTCCATTGATTTTAGATAGGCTAAATAAAAATAAGTTAACTCAAATGTAAGATATTCAAAACAATGTTATCACAGTGCTGGCAAGCACGACCGTCACCCTTATACTATTATACCCCCTTTACTGTTTTTTCAGGCATGAAGACTCATCGGAAGTCATTCATCAGGTTTATTTTTAATTAACATTCTAATTCAATGTCAAAGATGACAGGAATAAGAATAAGAATTTAATAAATTTGCATAAAATATGCGCCAGCACTGTATACGAAATTCACTGTTATACGAAATTCAGCACTCTTATACACATATTCAGGTGCCTAAAAACCATGTTAAAATTAATGAACACCCGGAATCCATGAGTCTTATGAATTTTAAAGTTGCGTTTGTCAAGAAATGTCCAGCAATGGAACTTGATAGAGAAGAGCACCGTTTAATTTCTATGTTCAGAACTAATATTTTGGGGATAAATAGAATTAAAGTTATAAGATGATAAGTTTAGATATTTGTGTTGTGTAATTTATTAGCCTTTCTTTAATTTTGTCAGTATTTATGTTTTTGTTATTGATTGGTGTCCCGTTAAATTTGTTTACAATAAAATAATTTTTCCATTCATACAAAAGTTTTGGGATTCTTGTTTTTAAGACTGTTTTGTTTCATCTAAATATGAGCCTAACTTAATTCTATTCAGGAGGTTCTCTCAAGATGATTTTTATATCGAAGATTTCAAGAGACTAAACTGTGTATGATTCGCCTCTCCAAACAAATCTAAAGATGTTAAAATTAAGTTAGAAATCTTAAATTTTGCAGGTCGTCTAGATGTTCACCAAATCGATTACAAAAAGTGTCATGTTTCAGGAGTATCGCGAAGTGGGTTTTCTGGAACCATTCTATTAAGAATCGCTTACATTTTTTTTCTTAGTATATATAAAAGTATTCAAACAATCTGTAATATAATTTATGCTATGTCTGTATACATACAACCCCGACCGCGACCGCCCACGTGCAAATTTGATGAGTAATAGGAAGTTGGATAAAAACTAAAAGGTTGCACAGCAACGGTGTTGTAATTCGCACGTGCATGTGCAAAGATTGTTGGAGCAGCATTTTGATCGGTTTTAAAGTGTTTCAATCGGCTGTATCTTTGGTTACCACGGGCTTTGTGTGTGAATGTAGTTATTAAAATGATCAATACTGTTAAATGACTTCTTCCACGATTAGTTCCTCTTTTTTTGACGAATTTTCCAGGTCCAAGATTTTCAAAATTGAATAAAAAATGTTTAAAGGCCTATCTCGAAATTCTAAAAAGAGTAAAAGTTTCTAAATGGTCATTAGAACATATGTAAGCAGTCATCACTTGCTTCAGATTCGTAGATTATTTGTAGTAATTTAGGTTACGAACAACAAAAACGAAAGTAATAATTATGGTAAAAAAGGGTAAGAAACAAAATGATTAACAATCCAATTACTACAAAACACACTTCCTAATTACTCTGACTTATAACGCCCTACATCTACTGTAAAACACACGTCCTTACTCTACCCTTACTTATCACCCTCGTTAACCGTCTCTAACGGAGTCTTACCCTTAAACTACACTTACATAACACTGCACTTTTAGCCCTCGCTGACCGTCCTTATATCAGGCCCAAATCCACTATAGTTCATTCTCGCTCTACCTGAGCCCGATTGTTGTTGACACGAACCCACTCGTGTTGGATTAACCCGTGTAAACCCTGGCTACAACACAGCCTATTCCTGCTCTCCTGAGTTAACCAATGTTGACTCTCCCTACGCTTAAGCCAGACTGCTCATTTCCTCCGCACAGTTCCACTAACTACAGTCCACGATAATGCTCTCTCCAGGATCCTAACGTTGTTGACACGAATGTTGTTGACACGAACCCACTCGTGTTGGATTAACCCGTGTAAACCCTGGCTACAACACAGCCTATTCCTGCTCTCCTGAGTTAACCAATGTTGACTCTCCCTACGCTTAAGCCAGACTGCTCATTTCCTCCGCACAGTTCCACTAACTACAGTCCACGATAATGCTCTCTCCAGGATCCTAACGTAACAGGTCCTGGCTCCAAAGTGTCCTACATCAATGGCCCTCGATTCGGGCAAACTCCTTCTCTCTTTCTGACCTTTCCACCGGACCTTATATAATGTCCTGTCCGTGGTTTTTCACCCGACCTCTCTAACCAGACTCACGTGCCCCTACTCACACCTTTGGCAGCTGGTCTTATCTCCCACTAAAGCTTCATTGTCCCGAGTCCAGGTGTTACGACTATTCATCTTTTTACCAAAGCTTCCTGTCTGATGACCTCTGAATCCATAGTTTGTTAGAGCTCACATCTATCTTTGACTCTCTATCTACACAAAGGGTTTACGTCTGAGTTCTCCTAGAACCATTGTCTCTCCTCCAGAGTGACATATTTCTCGTCCAGGTGAGGTCCAACCCACAATCTCCATTGTATTCTCTTTCTCTAACTTTCCCTAACCACAGACCAGAACTGGATGTTCCACTTCCACTGCCTTATTACACAATACTGCCTTATTACACAATACTGCCTTATTACACAATAATATCTAAAATCTATCAAATAATCTAGATCAAATAATCACGGCTTACACAACTTTACAAAATATGATCTTTTTTTAGAACTTTACTATAATATGTAGTATAATAATTTAATAGAACATCTCGTACTACAGACTATATTCCATATCAGCTTCTATTCGCTCAATATTCACAGCTTACACAACTTTACAAAATCTGATCTTTTTTAGAACTTTACTATAATAGTATAATAATTTAATAGAAAATCTCGTACTACAGACTCTATTCCATGCTTGCTCCTAATCACTAAATATTCACGGCTTACACAACTTTACAAAATCTGAGCTTTTTTAGAACTTTACTATGATAGTGCATATAATAACTTTATAGAAAATCTCGTACTACAGACTATCGTTCCAAGACTATCTTCAACTCACTTTTCAAAATTCTTACTCTACCAAACTCATTACTCTGTCCCAGAACCAAATAAAATTGTTCCTTTTTGAACACCATGACGGGTCATCTATTCACTGTTCATCTTATATTATGTTCTATTGTCTATATAAGTGATGAGAAGCCTCCTTAAAGTTTATTTGGGTTAGAAACGACATCTGGGTCCCTAACCTCGCACAAGATTATTCTCAATTTTCTTGTTGTGTCCACAACTATACCGTTGATCAGAGTCACATCTGATGACTTCAGTGAAAGGGCTGATGACTTCAGTGAAAGAGCTGGTGACCTAGTGAAAGTGCTGGTGACGATGAGAAAGACCATAAACCAGGGATTCCTTCGGGAGCATGTAAGATTATATCCAAAGTTTGTTCGCCAATGGGGTGTGTCTGGGTGTCAAAGATCTTCAAGGTGGGTGCTACTTGTGATGAACTCTAGAAGGATGGGATGGTAATACTCGGTCTGGCCGTCTGGAAGCCCATAGAATTCCAGTTCAGAAACCGAGTAAGGAGGTGCGGCTACTGATGAGAAGCCTCCTTAAAGTTTATTTGGGTTAGAAACGACATCTGGGTCCCTACCCTCGCACAAGATTATTCTCAATTTTCTTGTTGTGTCCACAACTATACCGTTGATCAGAGTCACATCTGATGACTTCAGTGAAAGGGCTGATGACTTCAGTGAAAGAGCTGGTGACCTAGTGAAAGTGCTGGTGACGATGAGAAAGACCATAAACCAGGGATTCCTTCGGGAGCATGTAAGATTATATCCAAAGTTTGTTCGCCAATGGGGTGTGTCTGGGTGTCAAAGATCTTCAAGGTGGGTGCTACTTGTGATGAACTCTAGAAGGATGGGATGGTAATACTCGGTCTGGCCGTCTGGAAGCCCATAGAATTCCAGTTCAGAAACCGAGTAAGGAGGTGCGGCTACTGATGAGAAGCCTCCTTAAAGTTTATTTGGGTTAGAAACGACATCTGGGTCCCTACCCTCGCACAAGATTATTCTCAATTTTCTTGTTGTGTCCACAACTATACCGTTGATCAGAGTCACATCTGATGACTTCAGTGAAAGGGCTGATGACTTCAGTGAAAGAGCTGGTGACCTAGTGAAAGTGCTGGTGACGATGAGAAAGACCATAAACCAGGGATTCCTTCGGGAGCATGTAAGATTATATCCAAAGTTTGTTCGCCAATGGGGTGTGTCTGGGTGTCAAAGATCTTCAAGGTGGGTGCTACTTGTGATGAACTCTAGAAGGATGGGATGGTAATACTCGGTCTGGCCGTCTGGAAGCCCATAGAATTCCAGTTCAGAAACCGAGTAAGGAGGTGCGGCTACTGATGAGAAGCCTCCTTAAAGTTTATTTGGGTTAGAAACGACATCTGGGTCCCTACCCTCGCACAAGATTATTCTCAATTTTCTTGTTGTGTCCACAACTATACCGTTGATCAGAGTCACATCTGATGACTTCAGTGAAAGGGCTGATGACTTCAGTGAAAGAGCTGGTGACCTAGTGAAAGTGCTGGTGACGATGAGAAAGACCATAAACCAGGGATTCCTTCGGGAGCATGTAAGATTATATCCAAAGTTTGTTCGCCAATGGGGTGTGTCTGGGTGTCAAAGATCTTCAAGGTGGGTGCTACTTGTGATGAACTCTAGAAGGATGGGATGGTAATACTCGGTCTGGCCGTCTGGAAGCCCATAGAATTCCAGTTCAGAAACCGAGTAAGGAGGTGCGGCTACTGATGAGAAGCCTCCTTAAAGTTTATTTGGGTTAGAAACGACATCTGGGTCCCTACCCTCGCACAAGATTATTCTCAATTTTCTTGTTGTGTCCACAACTATACCGTTGATCAGAGTCACATCTGATGACTTCAGTGAAAGGGCTGATGACTTCAGTGAAAGAGCTGGTGACCTAGTGAAAGTGCTGGTGACGATGAGAAAGACCATAAACCAGGGATTCCTTCGGGAGCATGTAAGATTATATCCAAAGTTTGTTCGCCAATGGGGTGTGTCTGGGTGTCAAAGATCTTCAAGGTGGGTGCTACTTGTG